TTGAGCTACTCAGAGCAGACTGCAGGTAGATCGTCTTGTGGAAAAGTCTGTTGCTTAAGAAGACCACCAAGGAGAAGAGGCGCAACTGAAAAAGGCTACAAAAAGCAAGAGATCCGACCCATTAGTTCTCCATTTGATCAAAATTTGTTAGTTACATGACAAGTTATTTGACTACAAAAATTTTTAAACCACAGTAAAAAGCTAGAGAACTGACATTTGATCAAGGAAGTACAGATAATCAGAGATATGGATTGAACAGGAGGCAACTAAAGAACACATTGGTTCTTATTGTTGCTGCAAGTAAAAAGCAATACCAAGTTTGGAAGCACTAGGGTGCAGATGAGTTCTGATTTAAGCGTTAGTTTTCTATGGCTGATTTTAAAGTGCAACATCAAGTTATAATGTCTGAAGATAAGCTATATGTGTTTCAGTGTCAAGAGAAAGGTAGCTATGCACTGAACCTACTGGGCAGTAAGAGCATGCAAAAATCTAGAAAAGACATTTCTAATACAAGTACCCTCAGTGACTTAACCAAAACTGATCAGTTATCACTAAAACATACACAACAGAAATTTTCTTTTAAGTGATTAAACTTTGGGAGTGCTATTGGTATCGCTAACCTAATTTTAAATGCTACATTTTACTATCATTACGAATAAACTCATGTGGCTAGATAACATGGCCAATTACTTTTTCAAAACCTGGCCATTCATAAAAAAATGAACAGCGCTTCAGCTACCTGCAAAAAGTGTGTTTCTTATATCCAGTGTTAAATTTTAATAAGAGTATTTAGAATAAGATCAATTTTTGGAGTTGTTATTAAGTGCTGTAGAGTCAGACTCGTGACCCAGTATAAGGTTCCAGAGGAGTATATGGTGAGTTTGAACTGCCGACCTTATAGTTAATAAGTTATCAGTTCAATACTTAGCCTACACATCACATCACAATACGTATGTATGTATGTATGTGTGTATACATATATATATATATATATATATATATATATACGTGTATGCATGAAGAGGAGCCCTGGTGTCCTGGTGGATTACGCACTGGATCGCTAACCATATGGTTAGCAGTTTGAATACACAAGGTGCTCCGCAGGAGAAAGATGAGGCTTTCTGATCCAGTAAAGACTTACAGCCTCAGAAACCCTATGACAGGATTGCTATGAGCTGGAAACAACCCAACGGCATAGTCAATCAGTCAGCCATGTATGATGAAAAGCTTAGAATAGATCTCAAAAGTGTTTTTTCCTCTGTGGTGCTGCAGAGTAATGCACTGGACTGCACGGTCAGCTTTAACGGCAAGGTTGGTGGTTCAAATCCAACAGTTGGCTCCTCAGAAACCCTATACAGAATCGCTATGAGTCACAACCGACTCAACAGCACTTAACAACAAACTGTATAGTATAGTTCTTTTGCAATGAAGTAAACTATGTTGAAAAAAGTCTCACTCCACATAACTGTGGCATTATAGTCCCAATCTTTTACGTAGCAAGAACTTGTTCATCACTGGTTAATACTTACTATGCTTTGCCAGGGGTCTTTGCTTCATTGGCACTAATAATGAATAAAGGAAAGAGGATGGAGAAGAGGCAGCCACTACAAAAAGAAGAAATAATTTGTCACTTAATCATTCATACAGCCATGATTTTGGAGATGATACCAGCATTCATAACACCTTCGCAACCAGTGCAAACCTCTTCACATCTTGGTAAAACAATTATTATATCTTTCAAAAAGAACAAAGTTTTTTTTAAAGCACTGATTATATTTAACATAGCTCCAGGAGGCAATACAACAGAAAGAATATGGGATACAGAATTATGAAAACTTGATTTTAATGCCAACTGGCAAAGGTCTGTAAGAAAAGTCCTGTGGGTCTCCTAATGATCAAATGAGAAGGCAGAACGCCTAACATTATAGCAAACAAGTAGTATGTGCTGGTGTGTGGTTATTTTGACTAAAAAACAAAACAAAACATGAAACCCACCAACATCGAATATATTCCAAAACTGACACTATAGGCAGAGAATAACTGCCTATAGCTTATTCAAAGCTGTGAACCTTTGTAGAAGCAGACTGCCATATCTTATTCCTGCTGAGTTTTTCTCTTGAAAGGTTTGAAACACCAATCTTACAGTGAGGAGCTGAGCTCTTTAACCACTGTGCCATCAGGGCTCCATTTATTTTTGACTGTTGTTGTTATTGCTAAGTGCCGTCAAGTCGGTTCTGACCCACAGCATCTGGTGAGCTTGCACTGCCGACCTTGCAGTTCAAACCGATGGTACAGTCCAGAAAATTAATCTACAGCACCACACCAGAATCCCATTTTGACTAGTTCCCTTCAAATCTCTCTAGGCAATTGCTAAATTACCTGATAATGTATGAGGATTGCATTGCTGTGAGGAAAGCCAAGGGTAAACCAAATCCAAAGTAGTAAGGCCAATTCCTTTCTATGTTTGACAGCCG